AAGGAGCAGACTGCCGTGGGACCCGCGCTTGCCGGTGAGTGGGGGCTCTCTGCGGATGGCAGCCGGGGGAGGGGACACCCTGCATGATGGAGGCTGAAGGCAGTGGACTAGGTGGACACAGGGCAGAGGCTGGAGGGCTGCAGTTAGTGGAATCACCGCACGGATTTTAGCTGCCTGAATTTCTCAGGGAAAAGGAAGGAGGATTTAGAGGGCTGAGGTCAGGCAGTGGTCTAATTTTGGTTTTCTGTCTCCTGCAGCTTACAGACTGGAGGACACTTATGGTCCAGACCCAACAATGATGCGTGCCAACTGCCTGGTACAGACCACGGAATGGAGTGCTTGCTCCAAGACCTGTGGCATGGGTATCTCTACCAGGGTCACCAATGATAATGCCTTCTGCAGACTGGAGAAACAGAGCAGACTCTGCATGGTCCGACCTTGTGAAGCAGACCTGGAGGAGAACATCAAGGTAAATATTACTGTCTTTATGTATGCTGCACTAGGTTGCTTCCATTCACTAACAAAAGGACAGTGACCAAAAGTGCGGAGCTGACAGGTAGTCAGTTTCAAGTGGTTTACTTGGAAATTTGAGTTTTGCCCTAGTGGTGATCACTATTTACAGTTAAATGTCGTTCATTTTCTCTCACGCTGTGTTATGGCACTGTATAAGACAATCTTGCCTAATAATAACACAGTAATAATTAATACCACTTGCTCACCACTAACTTGCAAGCTTAGTGTGCTTTGTGAAAGCCTACCTTCTAAACATCTTGTATTCATTTCTATCCTGACAGAAAGGCAAAAAGTGCATTCGCACCCCCAAAATCTCCAAGCCTGTCAAGTTTGAGCTGTCTGGCTGCACCAGCGTGAAGACCTACAGAGCTAAGTTCTGTGGTGTTTGCACTGACGGGCGCTGCTGCACACCCCACAGAACAGCCACCCTCCCTGTGGAGTTCAAGTGCCCTGATGGGGAGATCATGAAAAGGAAAATGATGTTCATCAAGACCTGCGCGTGCCACTACAACTGCCCTGGAGACAATGACATCTTTGAGTCTCTGTACTACAGAAAGATGTATGGAGACATGGCATAAAGCCAGAAGGAGACGCTAAATGCATTCTCAACTTGAACTGATTTGCATCTCATTTTGTAAACATGATTCAATAGCACAAGGTATTTAAATCAGTTTTTTTTTTTAATTTCAACAAACTGCTCCATGTGACTTAAGACAATTTTTCTACTGACCCCAAACGGTGATTTGAAGAAGAACAAAATGGACAGTGGGATCACAGCAAGACACAGCTTCAGAACATGTTCCTGAGGTGGTGTGATGGGGTTAAGGGAAACAGGCAGGAAAAGCAGATTCAAGCAAATGTTCCCTTAATGTGGTACAACGTGCTTCATCTAGTAGTGCAATTGAGAAGAGACCATTAGCATGTTTGCTGGTGCTGGCTTAGAGACAGCAACAGCTGGAATGCAAGCACCCAGCAAAGTGCTAAGTAGAAGGTGTTCTGTTAGTCAGGACAGTAATGTTTCAGCTCTGACACTCTGATTCAGATGGCTTGGCCAAAAAGAATCAGAATCATGTCAATTAGACTGGACAGCTTGTGGCAGTTAATTTACCTGTCACAAGCTACTTTTTATGAATATTGTAAATACTGTGTGTATATATATTTGTACAGTTATCTAAATTAATTTAAAGTTTTGTGCTTTTGTTTAATGCTTTGAAAGTTCAATGATAGCCTTCTTTTTTGGAACAAGATAGGTAAGATTTAAAGCTTGTTTGACAATGCATTCAAAGCATGAAATAGATACTCTAGTGGAAATTGTTCAGATAGGGCCAAATGGTGAGTTGAAGTCGAGATGAAGTGAAGGTGCCTGTAATGTTACAAAGCATTCATTGGCAAAATATGTTTACTTACTACTTTATAAGACAAGTGGCTTTAAGAGAAATGGCTGTTCTGTAGCTCGTCAGTCTTTCCACTGGAGCATTTGTTTCTTTCTTTGACTATGGCTCTTTTTGGACAGTTTATTTGTTGAGAAGTGTGACCAAAAGTTACATGTTTGCACCTTTTTAGTTGAAAATAAAGTATTTATATTTTTTATATAAATTCCTTGGTATTTCATTTTCCTTTAGTCTCCACTATTCCTTTTCATGTTTCTAAAGGTGTTGCCTTTGCACTAGATGAAAATCAAATAGTGTGTGGTGGGTTCTTCAGAATCACATACACTTAGGAATAAGCTAAAGATTTACTTATTCTGTTACTAGTGAACCAACTGTAGTTTGTTACTCCTCTGCATTTAGAGTGGAGGGAAGGGCCAGGCTTGCTTTGCCAAGCCCAGTATGGCATTACAAAGTGCAGCAGGTCTCCTCATGCATCACATGAAGTTTGAAAGGAGTCAGCTGGTCACCAGGGTATTCAACTGCTGCTGTAATACACCACACAACATGCTTAATTTTGTTGAGGTGTTCCACTGGTTAAGATTTGTTTTCAGCTAAGGGCAAGGAAAATATTTTTAATTACTAAAAGCATTGAAGTGGTTCTTGACTCTAGACTCAAATGCAGAAGTCTAAATTTGGTGCAATTCTCAGGGAATAGCTCATGTTGTATCATAAAAATCACAGAATACAACAGGCTGGAAGGGACCTCTAAAAAACTTCTGGTTTAACCTTCATGCAGTGTAGGCCTAATTTAGATGTAGCTTTACTTGAATTAACACCTAAGTGTGGTATGATAGAGCACTGGACTCTGGTGGCAGTTACACAGGTTATATTCCTGCGTGCTGACAAGGCCAAAACATTACATGTGACAGTTCTGTGCTGAGTGTCCATGGGTTCAAACTCCTGCAGGGCCACAGATGAGAAGTATTGTAAGAGCTACACCTTTTGATAATGGTCCAAACATTCTTCTTAGATAAACAAGAACTATTTGTGAGGACAGTTGAGAGTCAACTCCCTCATCCCCCTGAAGCTAAAAGAAAAGCTTCAGTCCTGTGCTGGGACCTACATCAATAACAGACTTTTTTGTCCCTTTATTAAGACAAGGAGATTCTTTGAATTCAAAATTAACCTTTGCACTAGAAGCATTAGTTCTTGTTTTCAGAAAAAAACATGCTCTCCAACAAGAATCCTTTTCAGGCAAACAAGTTCAATCTGGAATTTCCTGGTGCTGAAAGAGTGTTAGCTTACAAAAATGTCCATCCTTCCTGAGCACCTTCCAATCCCATTGATTTCAGCTAGCATTAGCAGCAAATCAGTGTAACACCAGCTTTGACTAATGATGAACAACAGAGCCCTAAACTAATGGCAAGTCAATGGGAGTCTTGCCAATGGCTTCACCAGGCTTTGCTCAAGGCCATAGAAGCATTTTCCCTACCTCTGAAAAATAAAAGGAATTCTCCTGGCATGAGGAAGTGGCTTTCTATGTCCCGTACAAAATACTTTTGGGTAGCCTCTGGCTCTTATGCTCCCTGAGACTCTCCAGCATTTTTTCTCAATGTTTTTTTTTCAGATTATGAATATTGTGCAGCCATTCAGCTCACCCTGGAAACGCTTCAAACACTTGTACAACACTGAGGACTGGTTGCCTGACCACTACTGTGGCTCCACCCCCAAATAACAAGAAAACTCTCATTTCTAGTTCCAGAAAGGGCAGGATGTACATGGGCTTCATTCATAACCATCGCTATGGAAGCTCTCAGGATTAGCAGAACAGAAAGAAGCGCAATGTACCTGGCAGGTTGGAATTAATTCCTGTGAGAAATTCCTGTAAGCTTATGGTACTGCTAAAGTGTGTTGATGAACAGCTCTGCTCTGCAGTCTTTCATCAGTTAGTATCAGATATTGCAATGAATGACATTTCCTAATACCATCATTCCCATGAGCCTCAGGACCACAAGATTCACTCATGTTCTGCTCCCAGCTCTCTGCAGTGTGGGCTGTATCTCCAACACCTAATCCGCACAACACTGTGGCCTCCTCTGGCACTGTCGTCCAGGTGTGCCTGGCAAACAAGGCTGGAGGGTCAGAGAGCAGCAGCAGGGCTCTGGTTGAGGAAGGGCTGTCTGAAAGACACCTGCAATGGGGTTCCCCCAAAGCAGCCCAGGACCACTACCTGTCCTTCCCCAGATTGGGTGATGACAAAACTGCCCTGCCGGCCGTCTGACACATTATTGCACTGCTTCACAAGCCAGCAGAGCACAGAAGAGGCCTGTCAGAATATTTTGATAGTGGTTTGCTGTTGCCACTGTGAATTAAAATAAGGGAGTATGCTACATATGCAAATCTGTTAAGCATTGTTGCTCTCCCCTGAACATATCAGGGACCATAAATCTCAGGTATGCATTATGAGATTTGCACTACTTTTTCCAGCAATGCGTGTAGTCTTCTCACAGAAGCATACGTTTTACACCATTTCACAGATGTTAGACCTCTGAAGGTTTTATCTCTGAAGGTAAAGTAATATAAATATTTTGTTGTAAGCTCTCCTAGAGGTATAGGTAGGCATCATACTGCTTGTAAGGCTTTCTTTCAAAGGTATCCCAGGAAAAAGGAGCCCTTGTGTGGAATTTATGGCATCTTAAATGATGGCTACAATGTGGGCCTTTCAACCGTAAAGAAGTTTCCTGATTTCATTCTTTGTGCCTAAGATGCATAGATGGAAGAATAAAAACCTGAGTTCAAAAGTCCAAAGTCACTTACATGGGAGAGAACACTTGTTCATGTTCCTTTCAAAATACCTTGTTTTGAAAATCTGCTTTTGGTTGTTTGCAGCCTCAGAAAATCCTATTGAGCAAGTTTGCTACCGTACTTTTAAAATTTTTTATTCATATATGAAAGCATATTCATTCTAATTACTACCTCCTTTAAATGGATCTCCAGCTATATTAATAATACAGTTGGTAAAAAAATCACTGTAAAGTCAATACTAATTTGATAAAAGATACTCAATTAAATGTTAAACAGAAATTCAGGGTGGCTGGAGACTAGAGTATCAAATACTTTGAAATAGTTCTAAACCATCGTATTTCAGATTTTTGTACCATAACACTTTTGCATGGATTTGCAGCTTAGCTTTCTAACACAATACAGATGTGAACAACAGACAGGGATTATAGCCCTTTCATATGAAATAGGCTCTACTCTCCAGATGGAAATTTGTCAGATTCCTCAGAGCTAAGACACATCCAAAAGACGCTAGTTAAAAAAGTCTTCAAGAATGAGCCACTTTTAATGATCTGCAACCACACAGGAACAAATAAGTCTTTGAGCAGTATCCAGTGGTTTGTCTCACAAAGACAGGGACTCAGCTGAGAAAACTGACTTTTGGACACCACTAGAAATAGCATATTTTTTACTAGATCATTTGTATTTTTCTCATGTAGCATAGTTTTTCAGACCTTGCACTTGAAGAAACCTTTCATTTCATTATACGGTAAAGGGCATTAAATATAAGAAGGATCAGTAATATTTTTACCGAATATATAATAATACAACTATTCTAATGTTTTATTCTACCACCAAAAACCCAAGTTCTTTAAAAACAGTGCTTAAAAGTGGCTTTAACTGATGTTATACTATGCCTACATATGGAAGTAGTTAGCAAGGAGAAGCTGGGATGAAATACCACTGTAAGGCTTTGCCCAAAACCCAAGAAGAATCTGAGAGAGGAAGTAGTTCAGTTAACTTATTTTTCCTCTCATTTTCCACTTTTTTTTCCTCCCTGCAGTTCCTTTGATTCATGTCCATAAATGGACATACCAAAAGCCACTACATTCTCACAGTGTTTTTCAGCCAGCCTGGAACCAGGAAATACCAGGAATTTCTTCAAGGAACCTGTTCCCAAACTGTACTAAAGCCTTCAACACATTTAGTGTTTGAACAGAGTTTAGAAGCATGACTAAGGTCCCATCTCCACTGCACGATTCAGCATTGCTGCTGCATCAGAGAAGAGCTGTTTACAGTCCTTAGTGCTTGCCCTGGCTTTTTCAGCTCTTCTCTATTCTAGTCCAAGCCCACATCCCCAGAGTAGTGAACATTCTGAAATGTCCCACCCTGAAACATCTGGCTGCATATTGTGGCAGCATTCCTCAGCTCCTGTCTGTTACTGGGGCAGTGCCATTTGCAGGACTGTGTACATTTGCTTAATGGTAAGTAAATTCAACCCTGGTAGGAGTATAATGGTGTTTATGTTGTGAGGAACAAAGCATTTTACAGCCTCCTGAGCAGGACCAAAAGGCTGCTAACACAGTACTGCAGTGCTAATACAATCCAGTGGTGCCTCCATTCATTACTCAGCCCCATTAATTGAGCCACTGAAAGAAATGTGCAATCCAAATAAATGTTTGTTGGTTTAAATTAGACCTATTAAAAGCAGGTATTTAGCAGCTTTCAGCAGCTACAAAATATGTTTTCCTGCTCCTGACCTGAATGCTAAGAACCAGCTTTTCAGGCAGTTTTCAGGACTCAGGTCAGCCTAGCTAACCAACATAACTGCAGTCAGACTGGTTTGCACCACCTGTGACCCAAAATCCTAAGGCTGTACAATTTTACCGGAACTGCATGGGACTGTGTGCCTTGGAGCTCTCCTGGGAGGACATAGGCTGGCTCCTGTGGCATTTGCTGGGCAATAAGCACTTCCAGGAGCACAAACTGCACGAAATAGAGTTCTGCAAACAGCTAAAATTACAACCTAGTATCAACCTACTAGGGAAGTGATAAACCAGTGAATCTGGTACATGAAAGAGAAGGACAAGGATTCAAATTAAATCTGAAATATGATTCAAACTTTAGACAATATAACATGCTGGAAGGTACTTGATATAATCTTAATACACTGTGATATGGTGTTAAGTATGCTTTTTTTAAATTAACAGAGCAACAGAAATAAGTAAGAAATCATATTTGGCCTTTTCCATTTATACATGCTGTTCTGATTCTAAGCTTGTTGTGAGGTTAGAAATTCCAAGATCAGTAAGTTAATCAAGATTCTGAAATCTAATGTGCTAGGAGTTAATGAAAAAAGCCAGCTCATCTTACCTTGGGAACTGCCACAAGTGTCTCTCGGTGGGCTTCCCCATCAGCCTCTTAGCTGTAGTTACCCATCTGGGG